CCTCCGCCCCACCAACCTCCAGAGAATCATCACTAGGGACTCCAGACCCCGCAAGGACTGGGTGGGGTTCGCCTCTGGCCACCTCAGTAGCTACCAGTACCCCGCAGTCTAACATGATGAAAAGCCAGAGTTGCCCCTTCGGCGTACGCTTGGAGGAGTGAGTGCTTGCCGAAGCCTAGAAACCGCAAATCCGATAAACCCTGTACCATGCAACCCTGAACCCCAAAATCGCCAAAACTTTGAATCCGCCTCTACACCCTCTATACCCTAAACCTCTTCGACCCCAAACCCGCCCCAACCCTCAACCATCCTCAACCTTAGAAACCTGAGGATGAGTCCATTGAACTTCTGCTTCGCATGGATGTAGACCTGCCTCAGCGCAATACAGGAGTTCAGTGTTTACTACACAACCGCGCCAACCCCCCGCAGGTAAGCAAAAAGAAGGGCAAAGGATCGGGAGTAACATGTCATTCGACACCTGGAGAGTTCGCCTTAGAATGAGTGTTCATTGCACTGGCAAAAGGAACCTTTGGAATACTTATGGTGTCGGCGACAATCACAGTCAGTCGTGCTAAGCAAAGCACAGCATCATCATCATCTTTTCAATGTTAACGTAACAGTAACAGGACTAGCAATACTGGTAGTAACTAAAACTCTACGCACAAAAAGAACAAGATTCTTTGCTAGTCCTCATCATCGTGGCCATACCAAGACTGAGAATGCCATTCTGAGTTAATCGCGCCAACCCTAAAACCTAAATCCTAAACCCTCAATACTAAACCCTGGCCCTACGCCCTCAATCCTAAACCCTAAGCCCTAAATCCTAAACGTCATAACGGTAATTTATGGTGGTCTGGATTGTGTTAACGGTAATGGTGGTCTGGAATGTGTTGAAGACGATGATCGCCACAATGGTGGTCATGATGACTACTTTTCTCAAAAAACAGGGGCCACTGGGCAATTCACGAGGAAGAAATGAGCTGTTCAAGTTTGCACATCATCCCCCAAAGAAACCCAAACCCTAAACCCTAAACCCTAAACCCTAAACCCTAAACCCTAAACCCTAAACCCTAAACCCTAAACCCTAAACCCTAAACGCGATGGCCAGCTTTTCTCCCCCTCTCGCAACTCTTGCGGCGACTCTTCTCGGGTGGGTGCTGGCGGCGCCCGGAATACCCAGGGGATCACCACTTCCGCTCTGATCAAGTGCAGCAAGGAGATGAGCAAGAGCGGCATACCCGGGCGCCATGCCTGGAGCTTAGGGTTTAGGGTTTAGGGTTTAGGGTTTAGGGTTTAGGGTTTGGGGTTTAGGGTTTAGGGTTTGGGGTTTAGGGTTTAGGGTTTGGGGTTTAGGGTTTCGGGTCTCGAGTTCAGGGGTTTGCCTAAGGCTTGGGTTGCCAAAATCTTTTCTAGGGCAAAGGGCCATTTCTCAACATAGAGGTGTCCCTCATACGCCCGGCTCCAAGATTCTCTAAGATTCCTCACTACAAGTACTATGTTTGTGCCATGGCACTCGAGTGGTTCTATTCGTAATGTCGCGGCAATTGTGCTTTATCGGCTGGCAGTACTAGTAAGTAGACACCACCTAAGTCGCCCTTACGGTCACACTGCGCTTCGCTACAATTGCGTGCAGTGCAGGTACTCATGTGCAGCTAAGTAGGGTTTGAATGTGTGCCTACAAGGACACCCTATGCATTTTCATTGGCTCTAAACCCAAACCCTCAGGAGCCCAGAAGCAGTGATCCCTAAAAAGACCCTAAGCCCTAAACCGCAAATCCTTAACCACCCCACAACCACACTAGGGTCAAGGTTTTATGGGTTTTGTATGGGATTTGAAAGGGTTTTGAGGTGTTAACGGTCTGTTTAGGGTTGCAGGTTTTAGGGTAAAGGGTTTTGTGGTTTAAGGCCTTAGGGTTTAGGGCATAGGGTTTAGCTTTGCGAGAGGGTATTGCTGGGAAGGGGGGTGGAGGGGGGGGATACCATGAGGGGTGGGTGCGGAACCATATGTGCGCTCATCCGTATACCTACGAACCCCGCCTACACTCGCAAAACGTAATCTTCATCTGACCATACACTTTCGCTTCGGGTTCAGGGTTTAGGGCTAGGGTTTAGGGTTTAGGGTTTAGGGTTTAGGGTTTAGGGTTTAGGGTTTAGGGTTTAGGGTTTAGGGTTAAGGGTTAAGGGTTTAGGGCTCAGGGGGCTTGACGTCAGGCCTGGAGCTCCGCGAAAAGGATGGGAGCCAGCAGGGCCACGGGCAATGCCAGAGAGGACAGGAGCCCTTCAAGCTCTCCGCTACCCAAGGCCCCAGCCTCAGGAGGTTAGGGTTTAGGGTTTTCGGGTTTGAGGGTTTAGGGTTTAGGGTTTAGGGCTTAGGGTTCAGCAGCTCCGTGTCGAGCAGTTTTATGGTAAAGTTATATTACGGCTCTGATATAACACCCACCCACCCAGAGAGTCCCATAACTTTGGGAAAAACAAAAATACAATTACTCTCCAATCATCTCAGTTTCAAAGGTCTAAACGAACCAACACAACAAACACACCTAATTTTCTTAACTTCATATTCTTGCTATCGCATCTCTGCGTTGGCCACCCCAGGCCCTCCTTGAAGCCCAGAAACCCTAAATTCCAGGCCTTGAGGCCCTGAAACCTTAAACCCCAGGCTTTGAGGCCTTGAAACCCTAAATAAACGCCAGGCCTTGAGGCCCTGAAATCCTAAACGCCAGGCCTTGAGGCCCTGAAACCCTAAACACCACCTAAACCACGGGCTTTCAACCACGAATTATGGGCTTAAACCACGGGCCTTAAGCCACGAATTATGGGCCTTAAACAACGGGCCTCAAACCACGGGCCTTAAACCACGAATTATGGGCCTTAAACCACGGGCCTCAAACCACGAATTATGGGCCTTAAACCACGAATTATGGGCCTTAAACCACGAAGTATGGGCGTAAAGCACGAATTATGGGTCTTAAACCACGGGCCTTAAACCACGAATTATGGGCCTTAAACCACGAATTGTGGATTTTAAACCACGGGCCTATAAACCACGAATTATGGGCCTTAAACCACGAATTATGAGCCTTAAACCACGAACTATGGGCCTTAAACCAGTTTCGGCCTTAACCCACGAATTATGGGCCTTAAACCACAAATTCTGGGCCTCAAACCACGAAGTATGGGCCTTCAACCACGAAGGACATTAAGGTTTAAATTATTATATGAAAGAGAGGTTTAGGGTTTAGGGTTTAGGGTTTAGTTTAGGGTTAGGGTTATAGGGTTATAGGGTTATAGGGTTATAGGGTTATGTGGCATGGACCTTTAGGGTCTATTTGGCACTTCCTTTTTGTTTGCTATTTAAATGGTTCAATTCACACGTACAATTTGTAGGGTTTAGGTTTAAGGCAAAATTTATGGCTTAGGGCTAGTTCGGTTCACGGCTCAGGGCTCCCATGTTTGGCATCACATCTCTTATTTTCCTAGGGCTTCGCCACCTACCATCTCATTCTAGGGTGTATGTTTTCCATTCAACCCTCGTTTAAGGGTCTGGTGTTTGCCATAAATATACTACTTAAAAAAAACAATAATAACATAAATACCGCTAACTACAGGAGCTGCTGGAAATGACAAACCCTGAGCGCTCTCAAGTGTGTTGCTTCAAATAAGACGATAATATACTCCTTTCTTGGTAAATATTCCCATGACCATATTGTTGTTTTAGCCGCTTTTAGCCTTTTCCTATTAGTATTGTTTTTGTTTACCTGATATAACACGAAGGAAGGGGAAAGGGAAAACACCACTTCATCTCGATGTATTTATCTCTCATTTCCTTCCCTCTCAAGATTTTTTTTGTTTAATCTCCCTCTCTCTCTCTCTTCTTCGCTCTGTCTCGCTATCTCTCTCTCCTCTGCCATCTCTTGCTCTCTTATCCCTCCCCTCCCCTCTTTCCTTCCTCCCCTCCTTTCCAAAACTTTCTGCGAAGAATAAGGAAAACAGAGAACAAAAAGGAAAAGATAGGATGAAGGCAGATGGTGGGGACAGGAAGGGAGAACTCCTCTTTCGCTCGGTTCACACGTTTTCTCTTCCCTTGCCTTCATCCTCTGCTCTTCTCCCTTTTCTCTTCATAAGAAGAAAGGACAAATGAAAGGAACCGAAAGCTCAGGGAAAGCAAGACACCCTCGCTCTCATCATCTGCCCCTTCCTCGACTTCATTGCTCTCTTCATCTCTGTCTCCATCTCTCTCTATCTTCTTCTTCTTCTTCTTCTTCTTCTTCTTCTTCTTCTTCTTCTTCTTCTTCTTCTTCTTCTTCTTCTTCCGCTGGGCTTGCAGTTCTCCCTTTCTCTCTGTCATTTCTGCGTATTGTTCTTTCCGTTCTTGCTTCTCTTTCTATTTCTCCACCTTCCTTCCTCTCCTTCCTGCTTCTTAGCTTTCCACCAGAAAAAGAAAATGAAAGAACGGCAAGCTCGTCTTGGTTTATCACTGATCACCAATGAGACAGGAGAGAAGAACAAGGAATGCACAGAGGCAGAGGACAAAGCCCTGCTGCTTTCTTCATCTCTTCCTCTTTTCATCCCCCCTCTCTCTTTCTCTCCCCCTCTCTCTGTCTCTCTCTGTCTCTCTCCCCCTCTCTCTCTCTCTCTCTCTCTCTCGCTCTCTCCCTCTCCCTCCCTCTCTCTCCTCTCTCTCTCTCTCTCTCTCTCTCTCTCTCTCTCTCTCTCTCTCTCTCTGGTCTTGCCTCTCTCTCTCTCTCTCTTTCTCTCTCTCTCGTCTCTCTCTCTCTCCCTCTCTCCCTCTCTCCCTCTCTCCCTCTCTCCCTCTCTCCCTCTCTCCCTCTCTCCCTCTCTCCCTTCTTCTTCTACCCAGCGAAGAGGCCCCCCCCCAGGAGAGAGGAACCCCGGCCACGCTGGCCCGCTGCTCTGTCTTGGTGAAAAGACGGGTTTGTTACACATTGGTAATCCCGATGTCTGGACGAAAGGTGCTGGTTCTTCTAGACTTGGGCCCCTCACTTGTCCACCCCCTTGTGTTGATCCTCATCAGTGGCCCCCTCATCCTCCTCCTGTGCATCGTCCTGGGTGTCGATTTGCGTGCTCTGCATCTGTCCCCCTGGCTGGCGCCCTCCTTGATCAGCCGAACTTGCGGACGAAGTCGCTCCTTCATCGCGACCTCTTGGTTGGACCCCCGAGGCGGTCTCACTCGCCCGCAGGGCCTCCAGGTGCCTCCACTCGATGGCCTCCTTGAGGAACTGCTGGTATCGAAAAGGCTCCCCGGGTTGACGTGGTCGATGCCATGGACGCCATGGGCGTAGGAGGCAGTTGGGCCACGGTCTTTTCCAGTATCCTGGGGCCCTCACCGGCCACGGCCCCCCTGGCAACGTTGGTCTTTCGGCCGGCTCCGTCCAGACCCCCCCAAGACCTTGTGGCGTCTCCGGCAGGTTGTGCGGGTCCGGGTCCATGGCCACCTCGATCTCCTCGTCCGTTGTGCCGTGCTCCCGCTCGCTGTAGTTCTCCTGCTCGTCCACGCTCCCAGCTTGCTGCGTGTCCGCCCCCTCCGTCAGGTCGACTAGGGTCTGCTCGCCCTCCAGGTTCGCTCCCCCACTTGTCGCGGCTTGGCTCGGGCCCTTCGCGTCCTCCGTGTGGTGCTCCATCAGCTTGGCCCCTTCCCACCGGGCCCCCTTGGAATGGAGGGCCTCCAGGTATCCCTGCCAAATCCTCCCCATCGTTTCTATCTCGACCTTGTTGCGCCAAGCGCGCTCTTGTCGCCATCTGGACATGATCTGGTAGAGGACGGTGAGGTGCAACATCGGCTCGCCCTTTTCCTCGAGGAGCAGCTGGTTCAGGTTGAGCACGTGCGTGAGCACTTCCACCACACTGTCCACTTCGATCTCCATGCCGCCGGTCGCTGTGGCCCCTACCATCCATCGGTTGAGAGCCATTGTAACCGCAGCCACGTGGTGATGCTGCTGGTGTGTCTGCATCTGGGTGATCCCCTCCGGCGGTTGATTGGCCCCCCGATCATCTTCTTCCGCGAGGTACTCGTCGATGGTTTTCTGCACCCATTCTTCATGTAGGGCTCGGTCTTGTTCCCACTCTTCTTGCAGTGCACGCTCCTCTTCCAGCTCCCTTTCAACCCTTTGTTGCTCTTCCAGGTCGCAGTCCGCGTTACTGGCGTGGGTCTCCGCTGCCTCACCCTCGCCTTCTCCGGTCTGTGGTCCTCCATGATTGCGTTCTTCGCCTTCAGGAAGTCCCCCACTCCCTTGCGCGTTCTCGGCGAGGTCGGTGTAGTCGGTGTGGTTTTCTGGGTCCCCATCTCCTCTCTTCCTCTTTTTCCCTTGCACCCATGCCACTTCATCTTCCTCGTCTGCGGTCTCGTCTCCATAGCTCTTGCTCTGGTGGTCGTCGTCCTTGTGCACATAGTCGGGCGGGTCGTCATCGTCGAGCAGGTTGTCAGCGTAGTCGTTCATGGTGTTCCCCGTGTCTGGTGGGCGGCGGCCCACAAGCCCACATTGAAGCAGAGCTTGGTCCTCCTTGTCATCCTTGTGTTCGCTGGCCGCGTGTCTGTCTTCTTGGTGTGGCCGTTCTTGTTGTGTAGGCTGGTGTTCCAGGCTGTCCAGCAGGGCGTCAATGATATCCTCCGCCTCCTCCACCAGGTCCGGCGGTGTGTCCACGTTCACTGCGTTGTTGGGCCCCTCTGTTTGTTCCGCTTGCTGACATTGTTCCGGCTGTTGGTCTCGCCCACCAGGCTGGTCCGCTTGCGGTTGTTCAGGACGGTCCGGCTCGTGGGGGTCACGTTGTTCCGGGTCTCGCTGTTCTTCTCCATCACGCAAAGGTCTTGGCCGGTGCCGATGGCGGTTGAGCATGGCACTCCATTCCTCACCCGTCCCCGGCGTCGGAGTGCTGCCACTACGGTGGACCAGTTCACTCCATTCCGTGTGCCAAGCCCGTTCCCATTGTTGCCAGTCAGCCCACTGGCGAGCTTTGCGTTCTTGCCGCACTGGTCCCTGTCCCCCGTCGTGCCTCGGTCTGTGTTGGGCCCCCGATGTCCACGTGCTCCACGAAGACCAACCCCGCCAGCTCGCAGAAGTCCCGGACGTAGTTGGCCCACTTGCCCAGGAGGTAGACGACGAGGCAGAGCTGGTAGAGGGGTTCCCGTGGCTGTGTTGGCGACCTCCCTGTTGGCTGGCCCCCATGCGCGTGGCCCTGCTTTTCTTAGGCTCGTCCCTCTGCTCATAGCGGCGTCGCTCATTTTGCCACTTTTCCAAGTAGGGCCGGTTGCGAATCTCCTCCATGGCCCCCTTGTTCAGGTAGCGGACTCGCCGTCGATCAGTAGGCGGATAGCCCGGCGGTCCAATGTCCACCGGCTCGCTCGCCCCCTTTTTTCCCTCCTCTCCAAACCAAGGAGGCATCTGTGGAGCAGGCTCTCCACTTGTAGCTTGCCCCCCCCGTTCTTGTCGGTACTGTTCCCACGCTCGCGCTTTGGCTTCTTGGCTCACTGTGTCCTCATCCACGTTGTCGCCCCACTGGTGGTTGCCGGGCGCTTCTTGCGCCTGCGTAGGCCCAGGGTTCCATGCATGGGCTGCCGCATCATAGCTTTGGGCCTGGGCCGGCTCTTCCATGTCGGCGTCTGGTGCGCGGTCTCCGGGGTTCCAGGCATGGAGTGCCGGGTCGTAGGACTGGTCGGCGTCGTCGTCTGTTCCATCCCCCCCATTTTCGGGCCACCACCCTTGCTGCTCTTCAGCTCGCTCCTGCCTTGCAGCCCGCCAGTCTCGAAGTTGCACTTCAAACCATGAGGCTTCAGGTCGATCTCGCGGGTAGTTCCACCACCTCCATCTGGTCGACCTCCACTCTCTGACTGTCCATTGGTCGTTCCCCCATTGGGGCGCATCTCTGTACTCAGAGCCTCCTCCTTGGGCGGCCCCCCCATCCTGGGGGGCTCCTTGTTCGGGTAGGGGTGGGTCGTGCCCGTCTTCTTCTTCAGCTCCACGTCGCTCCCCAGGTTGCGCAGGTAGAGGTCGAAACTGCCCTTCGGCTTGTTCCTGCGCTGCTCCATGTCCATGTTCGTGTGGTTGCGGCTGTCCCCCTTCTGTTGGCATTTCTTGGTCCGGTGGCACCTCTCGTTCCGGTAGTCGTCGATCACGCCCGTCACCCTGTCCTCCTTGTCGTCGGTGATCAGCATGTACAGGTAGGAGTGGATCGCGCCCATGGTCCCCCCCCTGGTGGTCGTCTCGTCCATGGCTAGGTCCACGTAGTCGTTCCCACCAACCACCCCAAGCCTCCCAGTCATCTCCGTCATCGGTTTCTGGCTGCACGGCGGTGCCCCCCACAGAGGCCCCCCCGTGTTGGGGAAGCGGTTCTGGTTGTAGCGGAGGTTGAGGGTCCATGTGGCTCGGCTGTCCTGGCGAGCCCCCCATCTGGTCCTCCTCGCTCTGAACTTGTGGTAGTCCCCCCTGTGGTTGTCCTTGGTGTTCTCGTTGGTCGCGCTCTCGGCCTCCTTCAGATCGCCCTCCGTAGTCCGCCGCATCGTCCCAGTTCCAAATGCTCCAGGGGGCCCCCTTCACGACCAGGATGCCCAGCAGCGGCCGGAACAGCAGCAGGAGCGGCCCCATGCCCCGGTAGCACAGAAGGAAGCGGCGGGGCGAAGTTGGTGCAGGGCGCAGGCAGGGACCAAGACGGCTGCGGAGTCGGTGACGGCGAAGTCCCTCTTGTGGCTCTGTCATCGCACCTACTTCAACTGCCCTCACTCTCTCTGTTCTCGGCGGCGCCCCCCATAGACTGAAAAGCGAAAGTCAGAGGCATGCATGGCGGTGAAGCGGAAAGGGTTTTTCCAACGACCTAGGCTTTCGGGCTCATCTCGAGGCGTCATTCGCTGATCGTTGCCGCTAACCAAAGAGGGCTCCTTGGGAGACCCCCGCTGTCGAGGTGAAAAACGGCGAGGTGGGACGGGGAGGCAGTCAACGGCCCCCACGTCACGGTGCCCCCCCTGGTTGCAGCATCAGGGCGGTCGGTTTCGCGGTCCTCCGTTTTTTGCACTTCCGGGAACCTCCTGTCCGCGGCTTTGCTTTCTTCCTCTTCTTCTTGTTGGGGGCCAAGTTCTGGAGTTGGAGCTGCCGAGCCAGTTTTCGGGACAGCTGCTCGTCAGCGCGCTCCCCCAGCTCAGCCTCAAGGGCCGCCTGTGCGTGGGAGGCCCACGGGAGATCTTGGGACTTCACCCAAGCTCTCTCCCTGAGCTTCCACGCTTTACGGTCTTGGGCAGCCTCCATCCAGTCGTCGACCTCCAGAAAGGCGTTGATGTCATTCTGGACCTCCCTGCCCGCATTAAAGCGGCCCGGGTGTCGGCGGCCCCCTCTCTTCTGTTGCTCCGCCTTCCACCAGCACGGCCCCCTCCACCTGAGGAGTTGTTTGGCCCGGCTGTTCTGTCTGGCCACGTGGCCGTACAGCCTCCAAACCTGCCGTAGAACGAAGGTGGAAAAGCGTTCCTGTTGGTGGAGGTGAAGCCGAGCGCGTGAAACTCGAAGGCTGCGCATCTCGTACTCCACACAGGGCTCCCCTTGCTTCCTCCTCAGGCCTGCCATCACCCGCACTAGGCGGAGTTGCTGTGTGTTCAAGGCCGCCAAGAGGTTGCGACCCGGCGGCAACGCCGCCGCTTGCCATAAAGCGGCCCCCCTCACAACAGCATTGAAACTTTCCCACTTGCAGGTGAGCGGCATCTTTTGTGCGAACACAGCTTTGTGGGCCCAAAAGACTTGGCGCATCTTGGCGTTGACCTCCGCAGCAATGTCCGAGGGCCCCCTTCGGAAGCCCTGTTGAGTGCCCAGAACACGAATCAGTGTCCCCGGCTTCAGGAGGGAGACCGTCTTGCCCCCGATGACGAGGGTGCGCTTGTCGCCTTCCACGCTGGTCAGCACCTGGGTCTTGTCCCCCTGGAAGTCCAGTCCGTTGTCCGCCGCCTTGCGCTCCACCGCTGCGAGCAGGGCTTGCAGTCGACTCAGGCAGAAGTGCCAGAGGTACATGTCGTCCGCGAAAGTGGCCAGGTTGAAGGGCATCTCCCACCCTGCTCCTCCCTGGCTTTTGCTGCGGCTTGGCCATGTTGAACTCGTCCGCCACTTCATTCGCCAGCTCGGCGATGAGTGCTGCGAATAGCACTAACGACTCGGGGGCACCCTGTTTGACTCCATTGCTTTGTCTGACCAGCAACTGTTGGTCTAAAAACTCCACGTGGACCCCCAGGTGGCACACCATCTCGATCAACAAACGCGCCTCCTTGGGGCGCGTAGCAAGCTTTCGTGCTATGAAAGCCAGGAGTCTCGGAATGCGGATGCTGTCAAAGGCCTTCCTTATATCGATCTTAACCAAGAAGGTCTCCTGTTTCCATTCTTCGCACACCCTGAGCATGCGCCCCAGGCTGATTGCCAGTTCCAGGGGCTGCTTCGAGGGCGACGCCCACTGTAGATCATGCGTGGTCCCCAGCAGCGGTGTCACCCGAGTCAGCGTGAGTTGGCTGAGAAGCTTCAGCAGGGCCGAGGACAAAGTGATGGGTCGTAGGTCCCCCCACCATGTCGGCTCCGCCTTTTTTGCCTCATGAACGTGGTCGTGCTGTACAGGTCGTCTGTCGTGAACCCCAGTTTCAGGAAGTCGTTGAGCTCCTCCAGGACAAAGCCCCCCCACACCTCGTCCTTCATGATGATTCGCAGCGCTTCATAGGTGATGCCATCTGGGCCTGCCGCCCTGCCGGATTTCCATTTGGCCATGACCCTTTGCACTTCCTCCATGGTGAAGCAGCAAAAAGGGCTCGGGATCACCGCGAGGGTGAGCCTCGCTTCATCTCGAGCAGCGTCGTTCTCGGCCAGACTGTCCCTGAAGAAGATCCCCTCCAGGTACTCCGTCATGTTGTCGGTCCAGTTGTCGTAGCGCTGGGCCAGGCGGGGTTCCCACAGCTTACGGGGCCCCGATCCGAAAAGCTTCTTCCAGGCCCCCCAGCTGCCTCTGGTGGCCCAAAACGTGAGGCTCTTGAGCCACTTACGTTTTTCACTCTTCCGCACAGAGTGAACCTCCTTCCACAGCGCCCGCGAGGCCGCCCCTTCTGCTCGTTTGGCCGCTTGCCGCAGCCTTCCCAGGTGCGCGCTTTCCCTGAAACGCGTAGACTCTTTGGGCACGATGAGTCTCTGCGAAAGGTTGGCGACCGACTCCACCAGCAGTCCTTCCCCCGTGGAAGGCGGGGCCGTTGCACGGAGCTGCGCTGCTGCTTTGTCAGGCATCACTGGCACCCCTTTCCTCAGCTTACAGGGTCGGGGGTCACGAGTTTGCGGCAGCTGCACCACTTGAAGCTCTACTGCATCGTGGTCGGAGGACATCTCATGCCTGGACTCCTCCAGCACGCCCGCCTCGAGCATGCACAGGCCTTTGGCAAAGATGTAGTCCAATCGACGTGGTCTCATCTGGTCGTTGTAGGGGTGGTAGGTTGGCGTAGCCCAGCTAGACTCCGCCGAAACCAGTCCAAGCTCTTGGAAGAAAGCAGCCACCACTTCTCCTCTTGCGGTGGCTCCCCCAAAGGCCCCCCCTCCATCCCCCAGTGTCAATGTTTCGTTGAGGTCACCTCCACATACGAGTCGAGAAAGACCGTGCAGAGGCTTGGTCGAGTCATACCAGTTGCGTAGTAGTTCTCCAGCTTGCTGCAATGTGGTCCAGTGAGGTAGGTGGCACGACATGAACCCCACCACGCCCAACGACGTCGTGCGCACTTTGGCCCAAGTGAGTCCCAGAGTTCCCCCACATGCCAACACCGTGTGAGAACCTTGAAGGTTTCGTCGCCGAAGAAGAATGCCCGTGCTCCTCCAATCTGCGTGTGTCCAAGCCTGGACGAGAAAATGGTCCTGCAGGGTCTGGGCTTGGCAGCACTCCTCCCCCAAGAGGGGGATGTGCTTGCCCGAAGGCCGCGGCCCCTTCTTGCTCGCCGTTGTTTGTGCAGCGGGGATTTCCCCCTGTTTTGGTTGCGGTATCTCTTGCAAGAAAACGAATTCCAGGCGGTCCCCCTCAGAAGTGGCCATGAGGTAGTCGACGAGGTCGCCTTCAGCGTCCAAGCCTCCCACGTTCCACGTTCTGAAGCAGTGGTGAAACTCACTCGGCGTGGATCAGCGAAGCTGGGCCTCGAGGTCCCCCGAGGGGGCCTCGACGTCACTCTTCTGCTTGTCGAGCTTGTCTGCGATCTTTTGCATGTCTAGCCAGCCGTGCTTGGTGCTGTGCGTCTCCCTGGCAAGTGGCCCCGCCGTCGTCGCCGAAGCAATCCTGGCTCCCCCCAACCAGACGGTCCCCGACGACCACTCGCACTCGACCTTGGCTTCCTTGTCCAGCGTCAGCACGAGCCGCTTGACTTTGCCTGCATAGGCCGCCCTCTGTCTTTGCTCCTGGGTTTGACTCCAGGCCCCCCAGAGCCGTCGAGGGTTGCCGTCATCCCTGGTCCCCACCTGCACGTTGGCCTCCCGGATCTGCTTTAGCACCTTTGCGAAGCGCTCGTTGATCTCCCGCTCATCCTCCCCCTCTTTGGGCTGAAGCGGCACTATGGCCGTGCCCCGTCTGATCCCCGTCGCGAACATGGTGAGGGGGTCAAAGTCCAACTGCAGCTTGGCGACTTGTGCAGTGAGCTGTGCCAACAGTTCATCACGGGGGGTGTCGCGGTCGTAGCCCCCCAGGACGATGGCACGTCTCCTTGTAGCGGACCCCGCAGTGCTTGCCGAACCTGTCGCGGTCGTAGAGGAAGCCCCCCCACTTTCGAGTAGAGCCACTCGCGCCTCCAGTCGAGCAAGTCCGTCCCCCTGTTTTTTAGTGTGCTCCTGGACCGCATCGAGCCTGGTGTGCATCTCGGTCATCTTGGTCTCCATGCTGTCCGTGATGCGCTTTTTCCATGCCCCCCATGACTCCACGGAGCTCACCCAGGAAGCCTTGCACCTCCACTCGTAGCGCTGTCTTGACGTCTGCGATGCTGAGCCCCGGGCCGCCCTCTCTCCCTCTCTCCCTCTCTTCCTCTCTCCCTCTCTCCTCCCTCTCTCCCTCTCTCCCACTCTCCCTCTCTCCCTCCCTCCCTCTCTCCCTCTCTCCCTCTCTCCCTCTCTCACTTTCTCACACTCTCTCTCTCCCTCTCCCTCCCTGCATGTTGCCCCCACTACCCCCGACCTTGTCCATGTACGAAACTCAAGGCGCTGCCGATGGCCGAGATAACCTACACAGGTCAAGGTCATATGATATAATATAATATAACATAACATAATATAATACAATATAATACATAATACAATATAATATAATAGAGTTTAATATAATATACTGTAATATCATATAATATCATATCGCATAGTATAGCATAATATCATGTAACTTAATCTAACATAATGTCGTATGATGTAATTTAAGTTCATTTGATCTAAGTTAATGAAATTTGAGTCAGCTTAATTAACTTAAATTTAATGAACTTTAATTGGCCGGAGAAATAAATTAGGAACTTTTTTGTTTGTTTTTTGAGTTTTTTTGTTTCTGGGTTTGAGGTTTAGGGTTTAGGATTTAGGGTTTAGGGGTTAGGGTTTAGGGTTTAGGGGGTTTAAGAGGGTTTAGGGTTGAGGGAGGGTTTAGGGTTTAGGGTTTAGGGTTTAGGGTTTAGGGTTTAGGGTTTAGGGTTTAGGGTTTTAGGGTTTAGGGTTTAGGGTTTAGGGTTTAGGGTTTAGGGTTTAGGGTTTAGGGTTTAGGGTTTAGGGTTTAGGGTTTAGGGGGTTTAAGGTTTAGGGTTTAGGGGTTTAGGGTCGGGTTTCGGGTTTCGGGTTTCGGTTTCGGGTTTCGGGTTTCGGGTTTTTCGGGTTTTTCGGGTTCGGGTTTCGGTTTCGGGTTTAGGGTTAGGGTTTAGGGTCAGGGTTTAGGGTTTAGGGAATAGGGTTTAGGACTAGGTTTAGGGATTAGGGTTTTTAGGGTTCGGGTTTAGGGTTTTAGTTTAGGGTTTAGGGTTAGGGTTTAGGTTTTAGGGTTTAGGGTTTAGGGTTTAGGGTTTAGGGTTTAGGGTTTTAGGGTTTCGGTTTTCGCGGTTTCGGGTTTTCGGGTTTCGGGTTTCGGGTTTCGGGTTCGTTTTCGGTTTCGGGTTTCGGGTTCGGGTTTTCGGGTTTAGGTTTAGGGTTTAGGGTTTAGGGTCAGGGTTTAGGGTTTAGGGTTTAGGAATAGGGTTTAGGGACTAGGGTTTTAGGGATTAGGTTTAGGGTTTAGGGTTTGGGTTCAGGGTTTAGGTTTAGGTTTGGGTTTAGGCGTTTAGGGGTTTTTTAGGGTTTAGGGTTTAGGGTTTTGGTAGGTTGTAGTAGTACCAGTAGCAAGGACAAAAAAAAAAAAACCCAAAAAAAAAAAAAAAAACAACAAAATCCTAAAAAAATATAGGCCTCCAATTTAATTTAATGAAATTCAATTTAATAAAATTTAAATGAAATTTTTTTGATGCAATTGAATTTCATTTAATTTAGTTTAAGCTAAGCTAATTTAGTTTGATTGAATTGAACTTAATTTAAGTCAATTTAATTCAATTCAAATTAATTTAAGTTAATTGTAATTAATTAGTTTCGATTTAGTTTAGCTAGGTATACTTTATTTTAAATTTGTTTACGTTCATCTAATTTAACTTAATGTAATTTGTATACATATATATATACATATATTGTGTAGAATACATGCATATGCATGCCTATATGAGCAATGTCAACGCATGTAGGTGCACATGTAGACTACATACATATATGTAAATCCGAACATAAACAGAAACCAAATACATCAAGATGCGTATTCATGGGTTTGTATATATATATATATCTTTTGTATTTGTATTTATTTACTTCTTTATTCATTTATCTGTTTATTTATTTCATTATATATATATATATATGTATATGTGTGTATGTGTGTGTTTATCTGTGCGCACGTGTATACACAGCTCTATATCTATTTGAATTTGTGCTTTTCGTCTGTATGTACGTTGACATGGGACTCTAAGCTATGAACAAGCCCTAGCATGTTCCTAACAGGCAAAAGGAAATAGATACAGAAACTCCAACAGAATGCAAGGAAAACCTGTAGAGCTAGTCATACTTTGGGCGGTGCTACTTTCGTCTCACTTGATGGTGAGGCGCCCTGCGGACGAAGCAAGCGTCGAAAGGTCCAGCCAGGGTATGGCGCCGTTGCTCAAAGAGGCTGTGCAAGTCCCCTGCCCGGGACACCGAAGGTGCAGTGCGAGGACAGCATGTCAGGAGTTTTGCATGAAGCAGAAGCTTGCTTGGAAGGCAGGATCAGCTATTCAAGAGGCTCGACTGCAGCGGGCATTCATCCCTCAACAAGCTCTGATCTCAGACCTTCCCTCTCCATATGCTGCCCAGCCGCCCCCGTCCATCAAGTCCAGCACCATCCATCTTAGAAACCATAAGGGTCCATGAGAGTGAACAGATGCTCTTCTCGCAGATTCTACGTGCAACAAGCTTGCACAAACACCACATCAAGATGAAGCATCACGAACCTTGGCAAAAGAATGAACGAGCTCAGAGGCTCGGAGTTCCAAGAGTTTAAAAATTGGCTGAGCCTCGACTCCATTGGACAGCTCAATTGAGTCAAGGTGCATGCTGCTGCTTTCGCCTTGCGGTCTCAGTGGCGCTGGGAACATCTCAAGTGACAAGTCACGACTCCACACGAATGTTGGTGCAGCATGATCTGATGTCCGGGCACATCCAGTCGGCTGTCGCTGCCAATTACCAAAACCGACATGCACAACAGGCCCAAGGAAGGAAGCATGTGCAATCACCGTGCCTTGTCCATCATAGAACCACTCATGACAACCTGAGCAACTATGACTATATGACCGACTCAAAAGCAGAGCTTGTCGCGGAATTGACTGCCAAGCGACGGAGTATGTTTTCGTGCTGCCACTGTGCAAGCAAGGAGGCCTCCATCTCGGCCTGACCCAGATGATCGCCAAGGATGCTCTTTTGCAGAGTCGTCACTAAGTCCCATTCTCTCGAGATGTGGCTTGGCACATTTGAGCTCTTAGCTGGCAGAGCTCATGAAGCGCCAGCAGAACCCCCCCGCCTCTCTCGCGGCCTCCACGCGCCTAGAAACTCTCAGCTTTCTTCAAACAAACATTCTGAAATGGATTCTGGCACCGTGCTGCAGTCTTAGGCTGAGGCTTGCAAGGCACTGCTTTCAGTGCTCGTCGCAAGCCCGGAGAACGCAAGTCCTCGCACGAATTTCGTTCCACAGTAGCTTTTTCATCACCGAAAGTATATGACTGGAGTGACTTGATGGTTGTCTCCGACGACAGAATCTCGAATTGGCAAGTCCTCACCCACATAGATTTTACCTCGGGACAAGGCCGCATGATGGCCGACTTCATTCCAGAAACGCCAGTCTTGGCCAAGCACATGCATAAGCACATGCCTGACTTTGGGCCAAGGCACCGAAGCTGCCGTGGCCCAGGGGCTCCGAAGCCTCGAAGGCCGCCGAGTCCTCACCGGCGCGGCAGAGCAGCATCCCGAGCGGCGCCCCAAGCGGCGCTTCGGCCTTGGCTAACAAGAAAAAAAAAAGGGGGCGCTGGGAGGCTTAGAGCCACGAGGTCTCCGAGAGCTGGGAGAGGAGAAACGCAAAAGCAAAAAAAGTGGGGAGGGGGGCAAAAAAGTTCAAGAGCAGCGGCCTGGCCAGGGGCTTGCCCAGGCGAGGGCAGGAGCCAAGGACACCACTGTGCCACTGGAGCCAAGCTAAGCGCGCGGTCTGGACTCGCAGCTGTGTTGTAACGTATAGATGAGCACACGAGAAGCACCTCTAGCTGACCGTGTGCCACACTCAACACGCCATGTGCAGGAAACAAACGAAGGCTACAGCGTCTTAGTCCTGATCAGGCGTCCTTTGCTCAATGAAGCACCTGAGTCCAAGAACAAGCAGCGACAATGATGACCCGGTCCTGTACAATGGAAGCCGTCTATTGCTACACAAGCCTGCACTCCTTCCATGGCAACACTACCTGCGGATGAACAACTAGCTCTGC